TGGACAAGTTTACATTCCCACCAACAATGAAGTAAGGTTCCTTTCTGTCCACATCCCCTCCAGCATCTGTTGTTGTTAGAGTTCTTGATTTTTGCCTGAACTCTTTCATTTAAGGCTAGTGCTCTACCATTTTGAGCCACAGAGCCCACTTCTGGTTTTCTGGTGGTTAACTGGAGATAAGAGTCTCCCTGACTTTCCTGCCCAGGCTGGCTTTGAATGAATTGTGATCCTCAAATCTCAGCCTCCTGAGTAGTTTAGGATTCCAGGTGTGAGCCACTGGTGCCTGCTCCTGTGGTTTTTTGTTTTTTAAGCAATAGCTCCACACAAAATTCCACTCATCTACCCACTGGGAAACTTCCCACCCTGTTTTCCAGAGTGAGCTCCCTTCTGGGAATTACTCACTTCGCCTTCAGCTTCAGATTGCCCTGCCTTCGAGTGCTCTCCAGCCTCCTGCAGTGCTTGGATCGTGCCCAGAAGCTGCTCTTTCGCTCTGAGGTGTGCTTCATGCTGGGCTTCTATGGCCCTGAGGAAGGGACAGAGGCAGGGTGGGCCTCATTGTGCAGGTGGCTCATGTTTCCAAAGATGGAAAACCATCTCAGCCAACTCCCATGTCAATACTCACTTTCTCTGAGTTCCTTCTTCTTCTCTGCTGTGAGGGAGCTGAGCCGACAGTTCCTCCAGTTTTCCTGTGAGGAGAAAAGCTGTCAGTACCAGGATGGGACATATCACTGCATTCTCATATGGGGATTGTAGCTTGGTGGTAGAACATTGGCCTGGCATGCACAAGGCCCTGGGTTCGATCCCTAGCACCAGTTTGGTTTGGCATTATTTTTAGTTACCAGCAGTTCTAAGCTGTATCTAGCCAAAGATGGTTATTTAGAACAACATACCCTAAGTATGACTTTTAAGTATTTAAAAAAAATCATCATTGAAGACTTATACTAGATCACAGGGAAATCTGTATTCTCTTCTAAAAACTTGGAATATCGAGTGACATTGGGCCCAGCATTGTCTCTTGGCAAAAGTCAGTAGAGCTTGGAGGAAGCTGTTCTCTTTAACCCCACCCACCCCACCCCATACTATGTCCTCCAAGCAGTTCACTTCTTACCTTGGTGTTACTTGCCTGGTCCAAGAGAATCAGAGCTTAAAATGCCTGCATGGGATGCACTTCCTGCATCACTTCCTGTCTTTCCTATGTCACTTTCTGGTTCTCCTATATCCCTTCCTGTCTTACTACATCATTCCCTGGCTTTCCTCCACCACTGCCTATTAGCAAACCATCTTCTAAAAGCAGGCCAAGGAGAGTTTCCATTACCTTTCATTTTCTCATTTTGTTCATTCAGGCGGAGTTCAAGATCTTGCTTCTGCTTCTCTAGCTCTGAAATTTGCTGTTTAAAGTCTGGGATCATCTTTAGAGGAGAATGATAAACAGAATACGAAATGATAAACAGAATACGAAATGGTTTCTTTTATGAATTTTATAATCTCAGAGACAAAAATCCATTTTTTATGTTCAGCCTGTGGAACACAATTGTATACATCGGCCAGTAAAAGCCCACTCGTGGAATGTTTCTTTTTTCTTTTTCTTTCTCTCCCTTTTTTAGCCTCAAGACTTATATAATAGTCTCAAGAAATTCCAGCATGTGCCAGGCGTTGGTAGCTCATGCCTGTCATCCTAGCTACTCAGGAGGCTGAGATCTGAGGATAGCAGTTCAAAGCCAGCCCGGGCAGGAAAGTCCGTGAGACTTATCTCCAATTAACCACCAGAAAACTGGAAGTGGTGCTGTGGTTCAAGTGCTAGCTGTAAGCTGAGGGACAGAGCCCAGGCCCAGAGTTCAAGTCCTATAACTGACAGAGAAAGAAAGAAAAAAGAAAGAAAGAAAGAAAGAAAGGAAAGAGAAAGAAAGAAAGAAAGGAGGGAGGGAGGGAGGGAAAGGGGAGCCATTAAGGTCCCCAGAGGCTGCTGGGAGAGCAGAGGGATTCAGGAGGAAGTGCAGTTAGTGGCCTTAGCCAAGTCCCATCCACTCCCCAAGGAAATGGTATGCTACCCAGTTCTTTCTGGAGACTTGGAATTAGTAAGAAAGGGAGTGTTTTCTTTTTCTTTCTATTTTATTTTTTTATCAGTGGTGGGGCTTGAACTCACAGCCTAGGTGCTGTCCATGAGCTAGTGGTTTACCACTTTGAGCCACAGCACCACTTCTGGTTTTCTGGTGGTTAACTGGAGATAAGAGTCTCATGGACTTGCCTGCCTGGGCTAGCTTTGAACCATGATCCTCAGATCTCAGTATCTAGGATTACAGGCATGAGCCACCAGTGTCCAGCAAGGGAGTAGTTTCTGAGTGAGATTCTTAAAAGACTTTTCTATGCCAGTTAGATGAGAGCCAGGAGGGGGAACAAATGGAGTAAGTTGCAGGGGCATTCCAGAACAAAAAGCTCTTGACCTGGGCTGATTCTGAGCAAGCGTACGACTGGCCTGAACAACTCCCCACATCAAGGGCCAAGTTTTTGCCTCAATTTTGTGGCTCTTGGAAGGGGATAGGACTAGATTTAAATATGAAACTTTAAGAATTTGAACCCGTTATATGTTGATCAAACATACTTTGTTTTTTTGTTTTGTTTTTTGGTCGGTCGTGGGGCTTGAACTCTGGGCCTGGGCGCTGTCCCTCAGCTCTTCAGCTCAAGGCTAGCGCTCTACCACTTGAGCTACAGCACCACTTCTGGTTTTCTGGTGGTTTATTGGAGATAGGAGTCTCATGGTCTCTCCTGCCCGGGCTGGCTTTGAACTGCGATCCTCAGATCTCAGCCTCCTGAGTAGCTAGGATTACAGGCATGAGCCACCAGCGCCCGGCTGATCAAACATACTCTGAAATCCAAGGGCTCCCCAGCCTAGGCTCATTTTAGAATCTTTTCTTCTTTTTTTTTTTTCCCAGTTGGTCCTGGGGCTTGAACTCATGGCCTGGGGGCTTTCCCTGAGCCTCTTGGTACTCAAGGCTAGCACTCTACCATTTGAGCCACAGTACCACTTCTGGCTTTTTCTGAGTAGTTTATTGGAGATAAAAGTCTCACAGACTTCCCTGCCCAGGCTGGCTTTGAACCACCATCCTCAGATCTCAGCCTCCTGAATAGCTAGGATTACAGGCATGAGCCCCCAGCCCCCAGCTTAGAATCTTATCTTCTGACTCCATTGTTTTATTACTGGAACAAGTCATTTCAATCCACTGTTCTGATGCTATAAAACTGAATTTTAACTCCTCCCATGAGTAACTGCTTTCCGACAATGGCCATGACCAGGGCCCATACCATGTTTTCTGACGTTAGCCTGGTGACTTGGTGCCGGATGCTTTCATTGATGTCGTTTTCCTCTCTGAATAATTTCTGCAGTTGGTTGATTTCTTGACTGAGATGGACCACTTTGAAGTTCAGGGCTTCGATCTCTTTTTCGTAGCAATCCTTCTGGGATTGGAAATGGTTCTCCATAACTCTGTCCAGGGAAGGGAAGGGAAAACAGGCACTCGGCCTTTGTTCTGTGTGAGGGAATCATACTTACTTATACATATGTGGTAACCGGAGCTGCCATGAGTGGATTCTTCTGGATAGTACTGAAGCATGATGTGGGGTTCACATTGCCATGAATGATAAAAGTACATTCTTTGGGGGTTGGCTGTTCTAGAGTTTGAACCCAAGACTTAATGCTTACTATGTACTTTACCACTGAACCATACCTTCAACCCTACATTTTTATTCTATTAATGGTTTGAAACAGATGCTCTGTATGATATCATGGTTATTGATAAGGGTCATTATAGATTTGTTAAAGTTCATTGGATGTACAACACCAAAGTGAGCCCTGATATAAACTACAGGCCCTAAGTGATGATGACATATGCCACTGTGGTACAGGATGCTGACGGTGGGGGTACTGGTGACAGAGGAGACAGGGGAACCTTGCATTTTCTACTCTGTTTTGTTGTTGTGAACAACAACAACAACAAAAGGAAGTTTAAGTCAGGCGCTGTTGGCTCACATCTGTAATCCTAGCTACTGGGGAGGCTGAGGTCCAAAGTATCACAGTTTGAAGTCACTCTGTGCAGAAAAGTCTTTGAGACTCCATCTTCAGTAAACCATCAGAAAATCAGGCTGGAGGCATGGCTCAAGTGGTAGAACACTATACCAAGCCAAGCAAGCAAGCTGAGTGATTCTGAGGACCTGGGTTCAAACTCCAATAAAAAAAAAAAGTTAAGCCTGGCGCCAGTGGCACCTGCCTGTAATCCTAGCTACTCAGGAGGTTGAGATGTAAGGATCACAGTTCAAAGCCTGACTGGGCAGGAAAGTCTGTGAGACTCTTATCTCCAATTAACTACCAGAAAACCGGAAGTGGTGCTATAGTTCAAGTGGTAGAGCACTCACTTTGAGCTGAGGAGCTCAGGGACAGTGCCTAGGCCCAGAATTCAAGCCCCACAAATATTCCCCCCCCCCAAAAAAAAAAGAATGAAAGAAATCCAACAAACATCTTAAATATAATTCTATTTGATAATAACCACTTTTTAACTATACAGGGTATAGGTTTTAGAATAAGACAGTTTATCTCAGAAAGAAGGTATCTCTTAGTCCTAAGCTAATTACTTTACTCTTGAAGTACTTCCAGCTGTTTCTTGTCTAGAGTCCCAAGAGGAATTTAATTTCTCACCGTGTTGCCTTCTTTAGTCCCTCGTATGCAAACCAGAGTTCACCATCCTCATTTAAATGTTCCAGATCTTCCACAGAGAGTCTGGAAAATCAGGAGGTGAGAAAACCTGTCATTTCTGGCTTGTTTCACCTGTTCAATGTTTGATCATGCAATAAAAAATGCCCACCTGCTTCGTACATCCTCGACGTCATAGCTCTCAAGAAGCTGTCTGGTAATCTCAGACATCTTTTCTGGAAGGGCAAGGCAGAGCTGCACAGATCACATTTATGCACTGTTTTCCTCCATCCCCCCCTCCCCCGATCTCTCTAGGGCCTGTTGTGTATGTTTGTAGAACCTGAAGTTAAACACCTTATGAATTTCCAACCAACTGGCTACTCCAACTTCCCATTAAGCATGGAAGCTTGCAGTCATGAAAGAACCCAGCTACTAGGCAATGATGAACTCAGTCTGTACGTCATGGACCAAGCGACCTGTGCCATTACCTCTCATCTCCCGTTTCTGCGACTGCACGTGTTTCTCCACGTCGATTTTCTGTGCCTGGAGCAGCTCGATCTCCTTCTCAAACTCAGAGATGGTCTGAAGGACAGGCAGTGACCAGACAGGGAGAAGAAGAGAGTGAGGGGGTTTGCCACCCGCCACGACCGTGCCAAGCAAGGCAGCCTCCCCCACCCCCTGCCCTGAAGTTTCTGAATTGAAATCCTGCTAAGCCATCACAGTTCATACAGTTTGCCTTGAAGCAGGCTTAGTTGCTCAAAATGATGCTGTTTGGGGAGATGAGTGGGGATTGGGAGGATTATAGTTTGAGACCAGCTCAGGCAAAAAAGTTAGCAAGACTTTTTTCACTGAGATGGGGCAAAGAAAGAAAGGAAGAAAGAAAGGAAGAAAGAAAGAAAGAAGTTTCAATGACTAAGGCAAGCATAGTGGCTTATTCCTATGATCCCATCTACCCAGGAAGCTATAGGTAGGAGGATCAAGGTTCAGGCTACCCTTGTCCAAAAACATGAGACCCTACCTGAAAAATAACCAGAAAGTAAAAAAAAAGGGGAGGGGCTGGGGGCATTGCTCAAGTGGTAAAACACCTGCCTAGCAAGGGTGAGTTCAAATTCCATTACCCCCTCATGCTGTTGCAAATTTATAGATATAGTTGGCTTGCTGCAGCTGGTGACAGAAGAGGCTCCCCCCTTATATGGGAAAAATATAAAAAGTATAGAGAACCCACGGTGGGAGGGGTGGAGGCCCATCTGAGAAAGGTGGAACCACAGACATGAAAACTGTATTTCAGTGCAGACCAAATCTTTGAGGAACAGGGGCAAGGTTGCCACCTTCTTCACTGGGAGATCTGAACACAGCTGGTCTAAGACAAGAGAGTAGCGCCAGCCCAGGCATCAGGGAAAGAAGGGTTATGGGGAGAGATGGAGAAGGAATTAGGGGCCTTGTGAACTGGGACAGCTCTGGTGTGAAGTTGCATCCCACTTAATGAGCTCAGCTCACCAAGTCTCTCTCTCTCTCTCTCTGTATGTGTGTGTGTGTGTGTGTGTGTGTTTAGCTCTGGTGTGAAGTTGCATCCCACTTAATGAGCTCAGCTCACCAAGTCTCTCTCTCTCTCTCTCTCTTTCTCTGTGTGTGTGTGTGTTTACTCAAGGCTAGTGTTCTAGCATTTGAGCCACAGCTTCATTTCCAGCTTTTTAGTGGTTATTTGGAAGTAAGAGTCTTGGACTTTCCTCCTCATGCTGGCTTCAAACTTGGATTATTCTTAGATCTCAGCCCCCTGATTAGCTTGGATTATAGGCATGAGTGAGGCCCAGCAAGACCACAGGTTTTAATGAAGGAACTATACAGACTCAGGGACCTTGGAGAGGACAAGCTTTCCCTGGTACTTTCTCAGCTACTCCCAGCATTCAAGGCTCTCAGCTCCCAGCTCCACAGCCCACATTTACAGAGCACCTGATCTGGTGGACCTAGCCCTCTAATTGACACGTACGATAAGGACAGTGGTCCTGTATAGGTTAAGTGAACTGAAGGTCAGATGGTATGTTCAGGCTGACCAGGACATCCTATCCTAAAGTCCTGTTCTTCCTTGTCATGTTTCAGGGAATAATTGATTTGTGCTTACAGATGCTCCTTAGATGAACAAGCAGCTTGGTAAAGTAGACCTATGTTCCTTCAAAACCAGACATCTTTTTTTTTGGTCAGTTGTGGGGCCTGAACTCTGGGTCTGGGCGCTGTCCCTCAGCTCTTCAACTCAAGGATAGCGCTCTACCACTTGAGCCACAGGACCACTTCTGGCTTTTTCTGCTTATATGGTGCTGAGGAATCAAACCCACGGCCTCATGCATGCAAGGCAAGCACTCTACCACTGAGCCACATCCCGAGCAAGCAAGCAAAGGTAGGGCCAAAACCAGACATCTTAATGTGTCACATTGCAAACCTGAATCAGATTTAACTAGCACAGAGGAAGTGAGCGACCCCTACTGGTGCCTCCTCCAAGTGCAGGCTCACCATCTCCCAATTTTTATTAGCAACCATTAGTTGTATAAGGGAAGCTTCATTGTAACATTTCCATACACACATATGATGTACCTTAATCAAACTCACCCCCTCTATTGGCCTCCTTTACTCTCTTCCCCCTTCTAAAGCAATTTCAACATGTTTCATCCTGTCTAGTGTCTGTACCCTAACAAAGCCTGTTTTCCTTTGCAGTCTTTTTGTGTGTATGTGTGTGTGGACATTTATTATATTCATTGTACTGAGGATTTTCACCATAATATTCCACTCATGCAATGTATCAAATTTTTGCCAGTCCTGGGGCTTGAACTTAGGGCCTAGGCACTGTCCCTGAGCTTCTTTTACTCAAGGCTAGCACTCTACCATTTGAGCCACAACTCCATTTCGGCTTTTTCTGTGTATGTGGTACTGAGGAATCAAACCTAGGACTTCATGCATACTAGGCAAGCACTCTACCACTGAGTCACCTTCCTAGCCCAATGTATCAGATTAAACTTCCTGTAGTTCATTCCTTCTTTCTAGTCCCCCATCCCTGGACTCATTGTTCAACAGATTTCAGTGCCATTCCTACTGCCATCTTCATCCCCAGACACATAGCATTTTGCTATGAATTCCCTCTGCCATATTCTCTCCACCCCTGCCCCTCCAATTCTCTCTAACTGCAGCCAACAGCAGGACTCCCACAGACTGACATCAGTCATTTGGGACAACTCAGCACAAGGCAGACATGAGCAGGAGACAAGGGGGGATTGCTGGCTCGCTGTGGATGGAGGGACTTGATCTGGGGATTGAAGGGGTGTCTAAGAGCAAGAGGGCCCTACCTTTGCTTGCTTGCTCAGTCGGGCCACATCGCCCCTCAAGCCCTCAGAGGTGACCCGCTCTTCCTCGAGCTGGTGACAGAGCTGCATTTTCTCCTCCTTGAGAGCCTTGATTTCTTCCTTCAGACACTGCATCTGCTTCTCATAGTCTTGTGCCTTTAGCTCAAAATTTTTCTCCAGCAGTCTAAGCAGCAAAAGAAGAAATCAATGTGAGCTGGGTAGCTCATGCCCATAATTCTAGTTAGTCAGGAAGTCGAGATGTGAGTGAGGATTGTAGTTTGAAGCCAGCCTAGGGAAGACAAATCTGAGAGACTCTTATTTCGGATTAACCAGCAAAAAGCCAGAAGTAGAGATGTAGCTCAAGTGGTAAAGTGCTAGCCTTGGGTGAAAAAGCCAAGCAAGAGTCTGAAGCTCTGAGTTTAAGTTCCAGCACCAGCACACACAAGGGGAAAAAAGGAAGCTGGGCATTGGTGGCTCACGCCTGCAATCCTAGCTACTCAGGAGGCTGAGTTTGTAGCCAGCCTAGACAGGAAAGCCCGTGAGATTTTTATGTTCAATAAATTATCAAAAAGCTGTAGGTGGAGCTGTGGCTCAAGTAGTAGAGTACCAGTCTTGAACACAAAAGTTTAAGGACAGTGCCCAGGCCCTGAGTTCAAGCCTCAGGATGGGGGGGAAAAAAAGGCAAGTGAGAAATTCATAATGGCCAGTATTCCCATCTAGGAGGAGCAATTTGGACACGAAAACTTGTGCAGGGACTGATGGTGTGTGTGTATGTGTGCATATATGTGTTTGTGTATATATGTATACATATACCCATATATATATATATATATATATATATATATATGTATGTATGTATATATATATGGAAGGGCTTGGCTGTCGTGACTCCCAAAATTCCTTGCTTCCCCAGGATATTCAGCCCACTCCCTCCCATGTGGGGTGCTGTCTGCAAGCTGAGAAACTAGAGCAAATGGCGGCGAGGGAAGGAAGCAGTGGCTCTGAGTGCACTAGAGATCGTACATCCTTTGCCGCTCTTCTTTCTGCACGTCGTCAAAGAGCTGCTTGGTGAGGGCATCCATTTTTTCTGTGAAGAAAGCAGGCTTTTAGAAAAAGACATCTGCCAAACCAAACCAATATCCTCTTTTGTTTCCTGCAGCTTTAAAAACGTGAGAATGTGTGGAGTATCTGCAGTGCAGTATTTATCGTGCCTGAGGCATAGGGTGAAAATGGATATTGCTTTGTGTGTGTGTGTGTGTGTGTGCATGTGCATGCACATGTGTGCATGCGCCAATATTGGGACTTGAACTTGGGGCCTAGGCAGTCACTGTCCCTTAGCTTTTTCGCTCAAATCTAGCAACTCTACTACTTGAGTCACAGCTCCACTTCCAGCTATTTTGCTGGTTAATTGGAGAAGAGTCTTGCAGACTTTTCGGCCCAAGTCCAGAGTTCAGACCCTAGTGTCAGCCTTAAAAAAAAGGTTCATGTTTCTGTTATCCTTTCTTGGGCTTCCAGTCTGAGCTTCCAGCCTGCTCACGACTCCACACACACTTACTCCCCATGAAGTAGAAATCTCCTTTCACTACGCAGACACCTCAGAGCCCACTCTGCAGTCTGGGTGCCGCCTGTCGTTGGCACCAAGCGACAACCCGTGAACTTCACCTTGGAGCTCTTCCGTCTTCTCGCGGAGCTTCAGCTGGGTCTGCTCCTGCTCAGCTTCCAGTTCAGAATTACGCTTCTGAAGCCTGGCCAGTTTCTAGCAGGGGCAAGCGAACCACTTTCTGAGAACTTCCTATCAAGTCCATCCCAATGGCCACCCTCTGGGCGCCCAGCCTCCCAGCTGTGGGTGCTGTAGGGCTTGGGGAGGGGCAGCAGGGTGGGTGACCACAGAGACCACAGCTGTGGGACATGGCGGCTTGCGCTTGTGTAGGGCTGATGGCAGGCATTTGTTTACATGATGCCATCTGACCATTTTGGCCTCATGACAATTCTGCCAGCCTCTTTTTTTTACTCCCATGTTATACACGAGGGGACTAAAACTGAGAGAGAGGAAGGGACTTGGCCAAGGCTGACCAGCCAGATAGCCAGATAGGTGAGATTTGAATCCAAGACATTGGGTTTGGGGATTGATTTTTCTCTCTGGGTCTCTCTTACACCTTCCTCAAGCTGGGGCATTGTTGCTCAAGGAGGATATTTATTTCCAGGGCCCAGATGTGATGGATGAGTGGCGAGAGATCAAGAATCTCGTGGAAGAGATGGGGGCAGCCAGCCAGGGCTTTCCTCACTTGGCCAAAGTGGACAGGAAGAAGAAACCCTCGGCCCTCTGTTCTCCAAAAGATGCCCCTGGATGTGGATGCAAATGAGCTTTGCTCTGCTGTCCAGGAACTGCGTGGAAGGCACACTTATCCCCTCCGTGGAGGGAGGCACAGACCCCTCCCCACGCCCCACCTCTGACCTCTGACCTCTTCCACAGTGTCCCTGTATCTCCGGTCCTTCTCCTCGCAGCTGTGTCTGTAGATGGCTGCTCTTTCCAGCTCTGCCTCCAGCCTCTGAACCTTCTCCACGTCGCCAGCCCGGAGAGCGGCCAGGCTGGTCAGCTTCTCCACCAGCCCGTGGTTCTCTCTGTTCTGGAGATAAGAAGCCACAGAGGGTCAGGTTTGGCCAATGAGAGGAAAGGCGCTGCTTTCCTTCCTTCGACTCCATCACATTGACGCCTGCGCGGCCAGTTCTGGCATCTTCAGCAGGGGATGGGGAGGCAGATGTTCTTCCTTGGCTCTCACGATGGGTGTCCCATCTGATCCTGGGGCCGCAGGACAACCTTAGTGCCACTGTGTCCTCTCAGAAATGATGCCAAGGCTGCGTGTGGTGACTCATGCTCCTAATTCTTTTTTTTTTTTGGTCGGTCATGGGGCCTGAACTCTGGGCCTGGCCGCTGTCCCTCAGCTCTTCAGCTGTAGACTAGCGCTCTACTACTTGAGCCTCAGCCCCATTTCCGGCTTTTTCTACTTATGTGGAAATGAGGAATCGAACCCAGGGCCTCATGCATGCAAGGCAAGCACTCTACCACTGAGCCACCTTCTCAGCCCCATGATCCTAATTCTTGCTACTCAAAAGGTGGAGGTTGGGAAGATCACGGTTCAAGGCCAGCCCAAGCCTTGAGATCCCTTCTCAACTTCAGTATGATGGTGTGTGTTTGTGATCCCAGCTATATAGGGGGTGTAAACAGATCACAGTCCAAGGCCAGCCTGGGCAAAAGAACATAATCTTGGGCTGGGAAGGTGGCTCAGTGGTAGAGTGCTTGCCTTGCATGCCTGAGGTCCTGGGTTCAATTCCTCAGCACCACATGAGCAAAAAGAAAAAACTGGGAAGTGGCGCTGTGGCTCAAGTGGTAGAGCGCTAGCCTTGAGCTGAAGAGCTGAGGGACAGCGCCCAGACCCAGAGTTCAGGTCCCACGACCGGACCCCCCACCCCAAAATAAAGAATATAATCCTATCTAAAAAATATAACAAAAGCAAAAAGGGCTGTGTATTGAATGGTAGGGTGCCCACTTAGCAAGCAGAGGCTCTGAAGTCAAACATTAGTCTAACCCTCAAAATATAACAAAGTCCTGATCTGCAGTACTTCGGCTATGACGGTATTCGAAGACAGGGAATGTAATTTAGGTAACAGAAGGCCATTGGGTGAGTCTAATGGTAATTTTAACATCGCTCTTAGAAGAACCTGGGGCAGACCCAAGGCATGTAAGGATAGAGGGGACAGCTGGTGACATCCTCAGGGGATCTGAAGGAACCCACCCTGCCATTCCCTCCATCGGGTGCATACAGCTTCCAGAACCACGGGACCATGAATTTGGCTGTTTCAGCCTTTTCACCCCGCCCCCCCCCCCCCCCCCCGCACCAGGACACTTTGTTACAGCAGCCCCAGCAAACTCATACACCTGGAGCTGTCAGCAGCATCATGAGGGGAATACTGCTGCTGAAGGTCAAGTTCATGTGTGCACATCTTCATCCATCCACCGAGGATCTCTGGGCTAACTTCAATGCTCACTTTAGGACAATTACCAGAAACAGGACCAGGAGTGTGTTCTGCAGATCTAGACACTGAATATTCCACAAGTTTCCACAGAGGGCATATAGATATTGTGTGTGTGTGTGTGTGTGTGTGTGTGTGTGTGTGTGTGTGTGTGTGAGGGCATATAGATATTGTGTGTGTGTGTGTGTGTGTATGTACTGGGACTTGAACTTGGAACCCAGATGCTATCCCTAAGCTTTTTTGATCAAGGCTAGTGCTCTACTACTTGAGCCATAGCTCCATTTCTAGCTTTTGAGTGGTTCATTAGAGATAAGAGTCACATGCCCTTTCCTGCCTGGGCTGACTTAGAACCATGATCTCAGCCTCCTGAGTAGCTCGGATGACAGGTGTGAGTTATCTGCATCCAGCTATTCTGTAGCCATCTAGCATGGCTGCAGCCTAAGCCTATGTATGATAGGCAAGTCATTATACTGTAGCTCTTCTGAGCAGAGGATACGCACAGAGTACAGACGGTGTCTGTGTGCCTGAAGGTGACACAGCTTTGCACTGCACACACATCTTGGTGAAGGGAGCCAAGTTGGATTTCAATCCTACTTGCCCTCTTGGGCAGGTGCCCTTGGTGCAGTGAATAACCAAGACAGCCATACATTATGTGTGGTTCCCTTCCTTTCTAGCTCGGGGGGCCTACCTATAGGAATTGTTTTCACTTACTAATATGAATATAAAGCTTTGCTTGTTTGTTCTGAGAAGGAGTTTCCTTATGTAGCTCAGGCCCATCTGTAACTCCTGACCCAGCCTCCCAGATGCTGGAGCAATAGACATGAGCCACGGAGCACAGGTAAATCTTCAGAGCAGAGCCACAGATCTGGTCCGCAATGGAATAAAGGTGTGAGAAACGTAGCTATGAGCGATGCACGATGCACACCCACCTGATCCTCCAACTTCTTCTGCAAACGCTGGACCCTGTAAGTCAGCTGGATGTTGAGCACGAAACGTCGGATGTTCTGGAATCTTCGGCGGGCCAGCCACGCCCGGGCGTATTTCTGAAGGATCACAGCCTTGTGCTCCTCCAGCATCTTTAAGACAAGATTTGGTGGGCTGGGAAGGTGGCTCAGTGGTAGAGCGCTTGCCTTGCATGCCTGAGGCCCTGGGTTCGATTCCTCAGCACCACATAAGCAAAAAGAAAAAAGCCGGAAGTGGCGCTGTGGCTCAAGTGGTAGAGCACTAGCCTTGAGCTGAAGAACTGAGGGACAGCGCCCAGGCCCAGAGTTCAGGTCCCATGACCGGACCAAAAAAAAAAAAAAGGAAAGACAAGATTTGGTGATGACCTGGAATCTCCACCACCTCTCACCCCCACCCCCACCCCTCCACTCCTCCCAACCCCCACGGTGAGTTGCTAGTCCTTAAGCCCCAGAGCCTCATGACACGCAAACCATACCTTCCGGTACCTCCTCCTCGCCAGGAAGCCCCGGGCATACGCCTGGATGGTGATGGTGGCTATGCGGATCAGCTGGTACAGGTTGCGGACCAGGTACCCACGGCAGTGCTTCTGGATGATGATGGCTGCCCAGGCCTCCTTCAAAGCCCTTGCGGTGATGGCTTTCCTTGGGGCGGTAAGAAGGTGGAGTGAATGTGCTATACAGAGCCTCCACTTCCCCACTGAGCCGCAGGCGTGGACAGCGGCTTCTCTGTGAGGAGGGCCCCAAGGTGCCACTGACCTCCCTGCCGTGGATGCCTATGTCATGGGCCTTGGGTCCCTCTGCCTCTGGCTCCCCTCTGTATGGTCTTACCCCCCCCCCCAGCTCCATAGTTGCAGGCCACCTGGGACTGGCCTTAAGGTCTTTACCCAGAGGCTTGCTGGGAACCCTGCTGGCCTTAGGGACCCTCTGCCTCCGCCTTTTCTCATGGGACCTCTGACCCCCTGCTTGGGTCCTGCTAATCAGCTGCCCAGAGATGACCCAGCAAAGCAAGCCGGATGGCTGACACCCCCACACCTCACAGTCTGCTGGCCCCGGAAGTACTGCTGGATCGTCACAGCAGCGTGTCTCTCCCGGAGGAACTTTTTCCTCTGCAGCCAGCCACGGACGTGCTTTTGGATCACAATACAGCCCTGCCTCAGTTTATCCAATCGGAGTTTCTCTAGGTAAGCCACTTGTCCCGCTCGGAAGAAAATCTTGCTTTTGCCAAACTGGTACTGATTGGAATCCTGGAAGAGAAAAACACTGTTGATCGGAAACAAAACCTTTCACATTTCATCTTGCTTTTGGAAATGATTGCTAGAGATCCAAAGATTACCAGACCATTGCTACATTGAAACTGTAAAGTAGAAAAAGTGTAAGTATGATCTAGAAACTTCTACTTGGAGTTGCTGGTTAGAGCAGTGGAGGAAGAAGTAGAGTTCAGGTTAAATGTCTACCAGCAAGGTAGCGGGGGCTGAAACTTGTAGGTGCTTTTCAGTTGGGCTGCTGGAGAACGTGAGCCTCCTTCACTTGGAAGGATCTGGAGAAGTCTGGTGTTCTGTCTTGAGTATAGGTTCTTCTCACTAATCCCTTTCCTGGCCATCATGAATTCCTTTTCTCTTCCTATTCTAATGTACCATGATCAGTAATCTAAAGCCACACTGAAGCTGGGCACCAGTGGCTCATGTCTGTAATCCCAGCTACTTAGGAGGCTAGGATCTGAGGATCACAATTCAAAACCAGCCTGGGCATTTAAGTCTGTGAGACTGATCTCCAATGAACCACCAAAAAGCTGGAAGCAGAGATGTGACTCAAGTGGTACAGTACGAGCCTTGCATGAAAAATAACACCCTGGTTCAAACCCACAGTACTGGTGCAGACTGACAGACAGAGCCACACTGTAGGTCATGCCTGAAGCTCCTAGTTGATCAGCCTCTGACCGAGATTCATGAAAAACTGGATTAGGAGACAGGGAAAATGAAGCAGGACTGGGCAGTGTTATAAGAGGCTGGCACTAAAGTTTGGGGCCCTGAAGGACATGGCTGGTGCCAGGACATCATGCCCGGTGAGCATGTCTGCTCTGTTCTCCTCAGTGGGCAACAACTTTCCTCTTGGGTGGTCATGACAAGCAGAGCCCTGAGCCTTGGGACAATGATGAAGAAATAGCTGAGTGGCCAGGTGCTAGTGGCTCACACCTATAATCCTAGTTACTCAAGAGACCAAGTCCTGATGATCTCGATTTGAAGCCAGCTGGGGCAGGAAAATCTGTGAGAGTCTTATCTCCAATAAACTCAGAAAAGGAAGTGACGCTGTGGCTCAGGTGACAGAGTGCTAGCCTTGTGGCAAAGAAGCTCAGGGACAGCGCCCAGGCTCTGAGTTCAAGCCCCAGGACTGGCACATGTGTACAAACAACACGCACACAAGAAATGTCCTGGAGACCCACTTGTGGGAGGAGCCCATGTTTCTAAAGGTGGGGACCACTGACCTGGATGAGCCTGTGCAAGACCACCTTGCACACTTCCTTTTTGTCGCCAAAGGAGAGCTCCGGCTGGGTCATGAGGATGCCGTAGCGGCTGTAGAACTCAATGTATGTCCACCTGCAGAGTTGAAGCAGGGCGTGAGCGAAGTGCACCAAGAAGGAAGCTTTTGGGGGGGGCCTCTGCCTCTCCTGCTGGGTGGGGATGGTGGAGATGGCTCTGGCAATGATGGTGATGACCTTGGGTCCTCACTAAGAGCACCCCAGCATGTGTGTCTGCTTCCTCCCCCTTACCCCTCACCCTGGCAGCAGGGTTGGGCTGGTAGCTTCCTCCCACATGCGGTGTAGGCTGTGGTTTACGTATGTGAAGTCTCCCCAGTGGCTCACGCACTGAAGGTACAAGCCTTCAATCCTCATAGGGATTACATTGACTTAACCAATGTGTTGATCATTGATGGAGTCATAATCTGATGGCATTAGAGCTTGGTTGAAGGAAGTCAATCTCTGTCTGTCTGTCTGTATCCTGTCAACCATGAGGTAAAGCCACATTCCTCTAGCACGAGCTATCACGTTCTGTCTCACTGTGCAGACCCAGAAGCAACAGAGCCAAGTGTCTATGGATGGAAACTTCCAAAATCATGAGCCAAAACGTACCCCACCACCCTGAAGTTGATCTCAGGTAGTCTGTTGTCATGATGGAAAGTTAACTAACACTCATGGCACACTGGTGGCTCATGCCTGTAATCCTAGCTACTCAGGAGGCTGAGATCTGAGGATCAGTGGAGGAAGGAAAGTCCATGAGACTCTTACCTCTAATTAAGCACCAACAAAAGTTGGAAGTGGAGCTGTGGCTCAAGTGATAGGGTGCTAACTGAGCAAAAGTGTAAGGCCCTGAGTTCAAGCCCCAGTACCCGCAAAAACAGAGTAACAGTGTGTTTCTTACCCTGTGTGACCTTCACACAGGACAGGGGGAAGCTAGTTGGGGTGTGCTTCACAGAAGCCAATGGTTTGTGGCAAACATGGCAATCACACCCTTGGTTCTTAGCATACTCCCGCAGCAGGAAGAAGGCTGAGTCAGTACCTGGATGGGTAGCTCTGGGCACTGATGCGAATCGTTTCTAAAACACCACAGGCTCGCAGCTGCTGGACAATCCTTTTGGAGTCAAACCTTAAAGAAGTCAATTGGGTTTTTTTTTTGTGTGTGTGTCATTAGTCTATTTAACACACATATCTAGTACACCATAGGCGCTGGAGAGTTTGGCCTCTTTTCCAAGATGTTTTCCTGGTCTGTGACGGAGGTGAAGTAAAAACATCCTTACCGCCTTACTATAAAGGGGCAGTAAATCCAGATCAGTTATACAGTGAGTGACCACCGCTAGATTCCCACTGAAAATCGTTCCTGGGACCCTCCTCATAGTGGCTCCAAGGGACCACAGAGGTGGCGAGCTGGGTTTACATGGAGGGGCCTGGACTTTGAGTTGTTAGGCAACAGGTTCAGGCCTTGTCCTGTGCCAGACACACCGCAGAGATTTCAGAAGAACCTGCGGGGTGTCCAGAGATGGGGGTAGGGCGAGGCCTTTGGCTTCAAATGACAACCAGGGGGAAAGATGAGTATAAGCAGCCTCATTCCAGCACCCACTGAACATGTGGATGTCCTGTACAAAACTCCCAGTGGACCCACAGACACACCCATCAGTCCCCAGGCCGCTCATGTCCCTGTATGCAGGTGTCTCTTATAGGTCCAGTGACTCTACAGGTTGTAGTCGCAGATGCCAACACATCTTCTGACCCTCTCAACACACACACACACACACACACACATACACACGCACACGCACTCATGTGTGAGTTCTTTCAATAATCAGACAAAAGAAGAGGGTTGATCTTCTCTGTTGCAGACCATTATTTTGGGTCTCACCCTTTCCTTAGAACCCTGATGAGGAGACAATAGAACAGTAGGGCCATGGGAAGATATGGAGCTGTGGGAAGATATGTAAAGAGAGACTTGGTTTTCATCATTAACAAAACCCAGAAGCAGCCAGGCACCAGTGGTTCATGCCTGTAATCCTAACTACTCAGGAAGCTGAGATCTGAGGATTGTGGGTCAAAGCCATGCCAGGCAGGAAAGTCTGTGAGATTCTTATCTCCAGTTGCCAAAAAAAAGTCAAAAGTGGTGCTGTGGCTCAAATGGTAGAGTGCTATTAAACAAAAGAAGCTATGGGATGGCACCCAGGCCCTGAGTTCAAGCCCCAGAACCAGAAAAAGAAAACAAAAACAAAACAATACACCAAAAACCCAAAACCCAGAAGCAGAGTAAAATCTACAGACGTTCATTTAGCAAAGTGGCCAATGTCAGGACAGAAACTGCTTTTGCTTCAGTTTTTGTTCTCTGGGGCACACGGGCTACTTACTCGAAAGGCAACTTCTCATCATTTGGCTTGATGCAGCGAACGTAGTGGGGTGTGGTGGCGTTGAGGGTCTCCATGAGTAAGGACAGGGAGCTGCGGAACTAGGAAGTGGGAGGGGGGAAGAGGGAGAGCAGAGAGCAGTGTTCTGAAATCGCTTCATGCTTAAGACCAAGGCAAAGTCAAGTTGAGCAGGGGAAACTGTTCGACAAGAAAGGTTAATTTCATATATTGCCAGCTAGAAGGTGGGTGGGGAGGGGGTTCACCCCATGCCTGTGGCTGGTCAGCAGGTTTACAGCTCTGTCCGATACCCCCAGATAACACTGCAGTGTGGTTCCCAGGGCCTGGTCTGCCCTGGCCCTTCACTCCCCGGTACCTTGCTTCCAACTGTGGTCCGGAAATGCCTGCTGTTGGGCTTGACGATCTGCTTTGCGGATCTAACAGTGATCATTGAACCGAAGGGGGAAGAAGGAACGGGATTTTCTTGAAAAAAGTTGGCGCACAGTTGGAACTGGAAGAAAAAGAGACGATGTCAAATGTCTACCCATGTGTCTAGCCACAGTCCTCAATGATGGGAAGTAAAGAAAGGGTCACAGCTACTCAGTGTCTAGCTGTAGCCTGAGCTCAGTTATACAGGAAGATCTTCTTGGCTAGGAATGACCCTGGCTTCTCTCGCAGAACTGGGGACCGAGAGGACAGCAGAGACACAACTCACAGCCTCATGCTCTTGCTTAGCCTTTTCTAGTCAAAGCCAGCAAGCTATCATTTGAGCCACAGCTCCACTTCCAGTTTTTTAGTGGTCATTTGGAGATTAGAGTCTCATGGGCTTTTCTGCCCAGGCTGGCTTTGAACTGTGATCCTCAGCTCTCAGTCTCCTGAGTAAGCTAGGTGCCACCAGCACCTGGCATTACTTTTTTTTTGTATTTATGCGCCTCAACTCCTGGAGGTGGAGAGAGTCTTCGCTACAAATGTAGACCCGTGTCAATCACGCAGTGAGTAACACGGTGACCCCCTGATGCTCCACAAACCTTGCTTTCTCTCAGGATTTCCACCAGCATGTCGTAGACAGTGTCCCTGTTCTTCTCAAGAAAGCCTTCACATTTATACTCTACCTGTTCAAGAAAATGGGAACATTTCCAAAGCAGATAGTATACCCAAGTTTCCTTTCTATTTATTTCATTCTTTCCATCTTGCCCCTCCTCTCCGCTTCCCTCTTCTTCCCTTTCCTTTCCCTTGTTCCTTCCCTTCATTTCCCTTCCTCCCTCCCTCCTTTCTTTCCTTCTTTCCTTCCTTCCTTTCTTCCTTCCTTCCTTCCTTTCCTCCCTCTCTCCCTCCCCCTATTCGTCCCTTGTGGGAGCCATGACCATAAGACAAAGTAAATCAGACAGAGAGCTCTGTTGGTCGAGAGAGCATTTGTGGGGTCAGGGCCATTGGGATGCTGGGTACCTGTGTTGGGGACCCAAATCCCATCAGTAGGACTTTATCTCTTTGGCTGACTAAACTGAGAATCTAACCTAAGCTGGTAGGGTATGAGATTTCTTTTCCAACTACAAAATACTAGGATGTGCTTCTTAGAAGCAACGGGTAAGGGAACAAAGCATATAGACACTACTTAGTATAAAGGGAAATAGGGAAATGCATGAAGTAAATCCCCTGGGTATTTTTATTTATCTTTTGTGCCCCAAGAATGGCTTGAACTCAGGGCCTTGCATTCTGGTTTGGCTTTTTGTGTTGTAGGCTGATGCTCTACCACTTGAGCTATTGTTCCATTTTTGGCTTTTTGCTTGAAATAGGAGATAAGGGTCTCTCTGACTTGTCTGCACAGGATTGGCTTCAACCTATAATTCTCAGATCTCCACTTCTTTGAGTAGCTAGGATTACAGGCTTGAGCCACTAGCCCCTGGCTAATAATGCTATCTTGATTGCTACAGTTTCATAGGAAAAATAGCAAAGAGATTAACGATCTTATAATCAACCAATAAACACACACGAAGGCCATTAAAACCCGTGTCATGAAGCTAATGTGAGACTCACCAAGCACCTGTACCCCCAGACACATGGGCCACCTTCATGGGGACACCAGGCCCCGGGGGACTGGAGTCTGGCTTGCTCTCTCCAGGGTGGCTCAGTTCCTGGGTGGGCAGCCCTGTCACATACCTTATCAGCAAAGTGCTGGATGATAAAAGATGTGTTTGACATTCTAGGCTTTTCAAATAAAGAGTTCTTGTTGACAAAATTATTATACAGCTTTTGAAGCCAATTTTCATCAGTCCCGTGTGGTAACTGGAAGAGAGAAGCAAACCAAACAGCAGGTGAAGAGAACCAGATGAATAATTACTAGGGATTTGGTGCCGGTAGCTTACACCCATAATACTAGCGAGTGCCCATGCGCACGTACACACACACATACACCCCTGCACACTGGCTGCACACAATCTGAGAGGCCAGCCCACCCCTTGCTGGGTGTTACCAAGAATGGTACATACACTGAAAGTGGAAAGGTCCCCAGATTGTCTCCACCACCCAGGTATCTGGTACAGGTTACTACTTTACAGTTAATGTCCGTTTAGTTGGTTAAGGCCTCTGGGTTATACAAATATGGCTCCCTGGAAAGACTGTTGTGGGATTTTTCCTGTGTGTGTGACGTTGATACTGGGGCTTGAACTCATGTTCTCACTTGGCTTTTTTCACTCAAGGCTGGCACTCTAGCATTTGAGTCACAGCTCCACTTCTAGCCTTTCTGGTGGTTCATGGGAGGTACGAGTCTTTTGGATTTGTCTGCTTGGGCTGGCTTCCAACCTCTATCTTCAGATCTTCAGTCTCCCGAGTAGCTAGGATTATAGGTGTGTGACACTAGTGTCTGGCTTGTTTTGCTATGCTCTTCTTTACTATTTAGAAGCTGACAAAAGCACTTAAAAGCAATTATCTAAAAAGTTACCAAGCATTCTTCATCCAGTAACTCCAAAATGCCCATTTTCGCTTCTATCAGGTCAATAACTGGCTGATTGTCATAAAAATCGATCAGAGTCCAAGGGATATCTTCCTTCATATATTCTTCTTGTTCGAGTTTAAAGACATGCTGGGTGTGCGGAAGTTAACATGGGAAATAAAAACAGTATCAAGGTGAGATCAGATCCCAGAAGGAGCTGAGCACATAGGCCTATAGACCTGTGGAGGAAGGGCTGCTTTATATCGGGAGGCTGCAAAGTGCCAGGTCTAGTGCTGCTGACATCCCCTGGGGACTTAGCTGTGGTGGTCCCACCATTGAGCCTATGTGACCAGCAGAGTAGAACAGGCACTCTGCCTGGTCCCAGAGCCCAGCCTGCTCTTGGCCATCAGCCACTGCGGCTCTCTATTATTTGAGTCAGCCTCTTCGGCCTGGTACAGCCTGGCTGCAGGGCTTGGGGTGGGGGGGCACTATTGGGGGATGCTGGCTATAAGCCAGGAAGATGCCTACTGCTTGCTCATCCTCAAGGGTAACAAGTACCTTCCCCAAGGTCAAGCATATGGCTCCGGCTTACCCAGAAGGATGAGGGAGAATGGGCAGCATTTGGGTGGGGGAAGGTGAGCAGGAAGAAAAGCCTTGGGAAAAGACACCTCCCCTCCTCCCCAACACACACACACATCAGGTAGTGGCCTGGTAGGTTCACTGTGTAAGGTACATGCAGGGGTAGAGGGGCACTGCTGAGGAGGGCGGAGGGGGATGGAGGGCAGATCACATGGGACTCCCAGGTCCTTCTTAGAGAGTTCAGGTCCTGTGGCCTTTCCATGGCTAGTGAGGACTCACTGAAGGGGGAGGAGGGAGGAGCAGCTCCATGTCTGAGAGTGGCTGTGAAGAGGGAAGGCTGGAGGCAAAGGAGATCAGGGAGAACTCGGCTGAGAGAGGCCAAACAAGGCCTGGAGAGGAGAGGAGAGGAGAGGGCAGCGGACAGGATGAAGGCTGGGCTCAGGACACAGGATTTGGCTGGTTTAACCAAGAGGATGGAGGGGAGGAAGGGGAAGAAGCCACGAGGGTGAGGTGAAGTGGTAGCTTTCTCTCTCTCTTCCTTCCTTCCCTTTCTTTCTTTTTTTCCCCTCTGTCTTTCTCTTCCTCCCTCCTTTCCTGCCAGTGACTCACTTTGCTAGGCAGGAGCTACCTATCCAGTCCTTTTGACTTTATTATTTTGCTTAGACCTCATCTCAGTCCCAAATCTTCCTATCTATGCCTTCTGCAGTGCCCAGGACTACAGAGAGGACCCACCATGCCACACTTATTTGTTGAGATGAAGTCTTACTAACTTTTTGCTTAGACGGGCTTTCAACTGCAATCCTCTTAAGTCTCTGCCTCCTGAATGGCTAGGATTACACGCATGCTGCACCACTACCCCAGCCTGCAAGTTCACTTCTCAACCTGTGGAGAACCTCCTGGGGCACATGGTTGCATGACTTGGATGAGAACAGTCCTCTGTGCTGATGTGTGTAGGTACTGCCCCTCCCAGGAGGGGAGATGACTTAAGAGAAGGAGGGAAAAAGGAGAATGAGAAGAAGAGCAAGAGGGGAAAGGAAAGAAGAAAAGAAAAAAAATGCACTCTCTAGTTTCCGGAGGCATGGCTTAGGCGATTGAGGGTGCTTGCTCTAGTAATGCCAAAAAAAATTAAAAAAGTTGCTGGGCGCTGGTGGCTCACGCCTATAATCCTAGCAACTCAGGAGGCTGAGCTCTGAGGAACGTAGTTCAAAGCCAGCCTGGGCAGGAAAGTGTGTGAGACTCTTATCTCCAATGAGTCACCAGAAAACTGGAAGTGGTGCTGTGGCTCAAAGTGGGAAAGCACTGGGACAGAACCTAAGCCCTGAGTTCAAACCCCACAGCAAGGCACCCCTCCGCAAGGCGGAGGGGAAAGGGTGCGAGATGGAAGGGTGCAATTTCAAGACCTGACCACAAGGGGGATGCAGAGACCGGATGAAACCGGAAATGCGGTTCCTTTAACAATCTGGAAATTTGAAGAGGGAGGGAAGCCAGGGGTAACTGGGCACCGCAGGGCTGAGGACTGAGTCACCTACCAAGTTAAACTGCTGTTGCAGCTTTTCATTAGCGTAATTGATGCAGAACTGTTCAAAGCTGTTCACATCAAAGGTCTCAAAACTGAAATAGAGTTTAAACACAGTTAAGATGAAAACAAGCAGCAGGACACAGGCATGCATTTACCTTTGCTCTGTTCCCTGCAGGTTGTAAATATACCGCGGAGCTGCCAGCCTTAATATCTGGGCAGTCAGTTCATAAATTACCCTCCTGCTGCTTCTCCCCTGGAAGACATCTGGTTATGTACCAAGTGTCTATCCCAAACTAGGCATTAGACTAGGCATGCCACGATATGCTCTACCATTTAATGCACACACAGCTCTGACATCAGCATTATGATCTCAGTGTACTGACCAGGAAATGAGTCTGAGAGGCTAATCAACTTGCCAAAGGACCGACATTTTGTTACAACTTGGTCTTGTTTAAGTGTCAGTGCAGGGGCTTGAACTCAGGGCCTGAGCAATGTCCCTTAGCTTTTTTCGCTTATAGCTGGCACTCATACTTGGACCACAGTTCCACTTTGCAGCATTTTGCTGGTTAATTAGAGATAAGAATCTCTCAGCTTTCTCTCCCCGGGCTGACGTCAAACTGTAATCTTCAGATTTTAGCTTCCTGTGTAGCTAGATTTACAGGTGTGAGCCACTGGCATCCAGATGAATTGATCTACTCTTCAAATAAAGGGCTGCAATTTTTCAAAATTATTTTTAAGATGGAAAAGAACGTGGGAAAAACAGCAATTAATCACATATTTCCACCTCAATAAAATGGACTGTTTTTAGCCCCACTATCACGTTTGCAAAATTTCCTTACATGTTTACTGGCTACTCAAGCCTATTCTTAGAACAAGACAAAGGAGAATCATTTCCTGGCTTATGTGGCAATGCACTGGCATTTTATAACTGTTGACATACTCTTATTAATGGGGAGCCGTAGGTATTCAATTAGACCTAAATTAAATAGTAACTCTCTGTTAGCATCATCTCACCTGACACAGGTAGATGAGAGACTGGTCTCCCTAGCGCTCTACCACCCCACCCCACCTCACCCCTGGGCCACTGCTGGGACTCATGTGAGGGCCCAGGGTGTAGCTCTGGCTTTCTATGGGGAAGGGGCAGGTGAGCCCTGTCACCAGGGTGTGGTGATGTCTTTGGGGGACAACTTTCCTTCCTTCCTCTGAGAAGCCAGGCCTGGTCCTGGAGGCCAGGTACCAACAAGCAAAAGCTCTGAGAGAGGAACTTGGGCGGCTCCGCCCTCAGTCTCTCCACCTTGTCCCAGCCTCCACCTTGTTGTCACTCTGTAGCTATCTCAAGCAGGAGCTGGGAGATGGGGGTTGGAGGGGGGGTGCTGGAGTGCTGGGTCTTTTGGAGGAAGGGGAAATGAATGGCAGACATTAGCATGCAAGGCCTTACTTAGGAAGGGAGAGTGGTGGACAGAGCCTGTGTCCTGCAGTACAGGCCAGGTGCTAGCGTGCCAGGACCCTCTCCCCACTGAAGGGGGGAAGACACAGCAGATTTTGTCTTGGGGTCTTTAGGAAAAATACAGAAGGTGAGAGCCAGCTGGGCGCCAGTGGCTCACACCTGTAATCCTAGCTACTCAGGAGGCTGAGAGCTGAGGATCGCAATTCGAAGCCACCCCAGGCAGGAAAGTCTGTGAGACTCATCTCCAATGAACCACCAGAAAACCAGAAGTGGCGCTGTGGCTTAAGTGGTAGAGTGCTCGTCTTGAGCTGAAGAGCTGAGGGACAGCACCAGACTCAGTGTTTAAGCCCCATGATGAACATAAACAAAAAAGCAAAAATAAAAACAGAAGGTAAGAATCTCACTTAGGGCTGGGATGTCCCACCCAAGGAGCAGCTGTGGATCCAAGCATTGTGGCTTCTCTGAAGAGGGCAGTGTCACCAGGTTGTTTGAGGATTAAGAGAGAAAATCCACAGAGGCCGATCACATGGGCGCTGGTACATAGTGAGCTTTCATGATGGCCATTATTAACTTCCCATTTATTCCATGTGCTCTTTAATAAAAGCCACCGTGGCCAGGAGACTCTGTGTGTGTGCATATGTGTGTGTGTGTGTGTGTGTGTGTGTATGTGTGAGTGTGTACTGAGCCAGGGCCATTGTTCCTTAGCTTTTTCACTCAAAGTTGGCACTCTACGACTTGAGACACAGCTCCATAGCCAGCTTTTTGCTGTGTACCTGGGGATAAGGGTCTCATGGACCTTCTTGACTGGGCTGGCTTTGAACCATGATCCTCAGATCTCAGATTCCTCACTAGCTAGGATTAAAGGCATGAGCTACCAGTGCCCAGTCAGGAGACTGTTCTTTTTTTATGTTTCCAGCCATGGGCCTGAACTCTGGGGCCTGGGCGCTGTCCCTCAGCTCTTCAGCTCAAGGCCAGTGTTCTACCACTTGAGCCACAGTGCCACTTATGGCTTTTTCTGCTTATGTGGTGCTGAGGAATCGAAGCCAGGGCCTTATACATGTGAGGCAAGCACTCTACCACCGAGCCACTTCCCAGCCCAAAGAGACTGTTCTTAACATTGACCCATACAAAACAGAGATGGCCATCTTCATCATCGTGCAAAACTCCAAAGAAGAAATAGAAGAAAATGATTTTTTAAAAAAAATAACAAGGACATTTGACACAAAACGAGGAAAGAGGGACTCACTGAAGAGACTCTTACCCATAAATGTCCAAAACACCAATAAAAGTGTGCTGCTTGCCTGAAAACTGCAAGGCTTCGTTAATTTTCTCCACAATGAAGTCGAACAGGTGCGCGTAGATCTTTTTGGCCAGCGCGTCCCTGGCGTTGCTGGCCTGGGCTCTGGTCATGGGTTTCACCACGGTCTCAGAGCTGGTGACGATCTTGCGGTTGCAGAGCCACTGAGACACTTTGCCACGCGCCAGGCCCAGGAGCTCGCAGAATACCTTCAAGTGATCGTCATCCTCCTTCAAAAGCAAATACAAGCCCTGTCAGAGCCACCTGCTGTCCACAGGGTGAGAAGAGGAGCCCCTGCTCTGGCCCGAGAGACCAGGGACAGCTGGAATGCTAGGGCAGGGCTGCCAGGCCCCACTGGAATAGAACTCATTAGAATAGCAGGTAAGGCCTGGCGCTGGTGGCTCCTGTTCCAGGGGCTTCACCTTTGCCAGTCTCTCTGCTTTGAATATTCTTCCTGCTGACATGGGTAGGACTTGCTTTGTCTCCTTCAGGCCTCTGCTGCTTCCCGCTTACAAGAAAGCCTTTCCCAGAGTGCCCTGCGCAAAAGGCACCAGACTCTGCACCCCCAAATCTGCATTGCTTTCCTTCCTAACAGCATCACCAGCACCTGCTACCCCCCCCCCGACATTTGTGTATTGTGTCTCCCTTTCCTCCTGCCATGAATGTCTTCCTAATTCAGCTCCATGCTGCTTTCCCAGGATCTACATTGGCCAGTAGGGACCCTTTTAATTTTATTTACTTTTTTTTTGTCGGTCATGGGGCTTGAACTCTGGGCCTGGGCGCTGTCCCTCAGCTCTTCACCTCAAGGGTAGCACTCTACCACTTGAGCCACTGTGTCACTTCTGGTTTTCTGAATGGTTTATTGGAGGTAAGAGTCTCACACGGCCTTTCCAGCCCAGGCTGGCTTTGAACCATGATCCTCAGGTCTTAGCCTCCTGAGTAGCCAGGATTACAGGTGTGAGCCACTGGCACCTGGCTTAAATTTTTTTTTCTTAAATAGAGAATGCACTGTTCCCCCCATCCTCCACTGTTACAAGCAGAGGAAGCTGAACTCTTTGAAGACAATCCTTGGAAAACCCTTCTTCCTGGTTCCTGCTAAACCAGTCTGCCCAGCAGATCCAACCGCCAGTGCCCAGTGCAGGTCAGCCACAGTGGGCGTGGCCTGGGGCCTCAGGAAGGCAGAGCAAGCTGGACTCACACTGATGGAAGACCGCTCGCTGCCCACCCCGGCGATCTGCACGTTGCCCAGATGCAGGATGGCGGCCAGGATGGTGAAAACATCCATCTGAAAATCCTCCTTGAAACCTGGAAACAGACATTTTCCCCAACTCAGGAACACAGGGCCTCTTCTTGTCCCAGTAAGAGAAGCACATGGGCTCTTCCCAAGACACTCCTGCAAGATACTCAGTGCCAACAGCTGGGACAGGGGACCTGAAGGGGAGCCGGGGACAATCTGACTCACCGCTCTTTGCTATTTGTCCTGTCTGTGAGGAGATCATCACACCCACTCACCACCGTGCACCTGTTGTAGCTTTTGTTTGTTCTGGGTGGTTGAGTGAGTGCGTGATGGGTTGTTTGACTGACGCCATTCCTCAGATTTGAACTCAGGGCTTCACATTTGTTAGGCTGGCTCCCTACCTCTGCCTGTGTTGTTGCTGGGACCACCACGGCCCCCTCCTCTAGCCCCTTTGTTGAGGGTCCTGGGGTTTCAACTCAGGGCCTTTCCCTTACTAGGCAGGCCCTCTACCACTTGAGCCTTGCTCCCAGTCCTTCTTGGTTTAGTTATTTTTTTTCATAGAGGATCTCATGCTTTTGCTTAAGTTGGCCTTAGCGCATGATCCTCCTACAGCTGACTTCCAGGTAGCTAGGATAAGATGTGTATGCTTGGCCCTTGGCTTGTTGTCTTTTGAGATAGGGTCTGGATGACTTTTGCTCAGGTTGGCCGCTAACGCTACCTCCTGAGCAGCTAGGATTACAGCAAAAGGACTGAGAACAAGCGGAGGCCCCAAGTTCAATCTCCAAGACCACCTCTCCTCCCACACACCTGACACTCAAATCAGAATTTCATGGGGGTCTTCGAGACACATACATGCTCCTGGCCACCCCTTTCCTTTCTCCCCCTCTTCTTCCCTTCCCTATTACCCTTCCCCTCCCTTACCTTGCCCTCTCCTATCTCTCTTTCTCATTCTCTGTCTGTCTGTCTGTCTGTCTGTCTGTCTGTCTCTAAGTGGTCACCCCTTTGGCTAGGACATTTTATTACTCACCCAAGAGTGCAAATGTCTTCTGAGTCTCTACCATGTCCGCTCTGTCATTCACACCCTCGATGACTGTATTGCCTCCCATGCTCGTGTAGTGAAACTCTTCTGCACTCCCTGAAACAAAATTATTAGTCCTGCCCATGGCACATAAATTTGGACACACATGGCAATTAGAAAGAAGGGAAGGCAGAAGGGCTGGGGGGTGTGGCTCGAGTGGTAGAACGCTTGCCTAGCAAATGCAAGGCCCTGAGTTCAATCCTCAATAATGCTGGGAATGGGAGGGGGCAGGGGTGGGGGAGGAAGCCTGGGGCTGCAAGTATGTGCTGCCCAGATTCATGGTCTCACCCCAGGGATTCTTGCATAAGGTAACCATTCCACCCCTGAAGCTGAAGGATTCTCTTTCTTGATCAGAGACACACCATTAAAAAAAAATGTTATAGCTGGGTACTGGTGGCTCACGCCTGTAATCCTAGCTACTCAACAGGCTGAGATCTGAGGATCTTGGTTTAAAGCCAGCTTGGGCAGGAAAGTCCATGAGACCCTTATCTCCAATTAGGTACTACCAGAAAACCAGAAGCGGAGCTGTGGCTCAAAGTGGTAGAGCGCTAGCTTTGTGCAAAGGAGCTTCCTATGACAAAAATAAATAAATAAATGAATAAAAAATGTTGTGCTATAATCATAAGCAGAAATTCATGAAGATTTTAAAGCTCTTTACAAAAGAGACCCTGCCACATACCATACATCCATCACGTACTTAGTTTAAGATGTTTAAACTCCGACTGCTGTGCAGATGCACACAGCTGGTAGAAAATGTGGTAATTCCGTTCATTTTCTGACTGAAAAATAAAGAAAAGACCCTCAATTATTTCCAGCCCAGTGGAAAAGGCCAGGTTTCCACTAGGGGGCGAATCTGGATGAATATCATTTGTAATCCTAGATACTCAGGTGGGTGAGATCTGAGGATCAAGGTTCAAAGCCAGCCAGGGCCATCCCCCAAACTGGATGCAAACTTGAGCTATGGCTCAAGTGGTAGAGCGTTAACCTTGAGCAAAAAAGCTTAGGGACAGCATCCAGGCCCTGAGTTCAAACCCCAGGACGAGCACAAAGGAAAAAAAGAAAGGAAAAAAGAAAAAAAAGAGAGACAGAAAAGAAAAAGATTGCAAAAAAATTAGAGCAGCTCCATTTCCAGCTTTTTTGGTGATTAATTGGAGATAAGAACCTTACGGACTTTCCTTCCTGGGCTGGCTTTGAACTGTGGTCCTCAGATCTCAGTCTCCTGAGTAGCTAGGATTATAGTCGTGAGCCATTAGCTCCCAGCTTAAATTTTTATTAGCATAAATTAATCGTACAAAGGAGTTTCACTAAGATAGGTACATGTGTTTACTTTGTTCAAATTCACTCCCTTTAGTTACTCTTTTACCTCTCTCTTCTACCTCCATCTTTTGAAGGGTTTATAGTGGGTTTCATGATGCTGTTTCTATATATGTATATATTGTATGCCTAGCAGGTTCATTTCCTGCTGTCACCCTATCCTTTTCCTCTATCCCTAACGATTGGTTTCCTCCCAATGTTACTTTTTACAATCATACATTATTATTATTGATAGTAGTAATAGTACTTATTATGTCTAGACAGTTTTTCAGCTTTGGGTTTATAGAAAGATGGACTAAACTTTTTTTTGAGCATTAAAAAGTTGAGAGCCTGAAGATATAGTTCCAATGACGGAGCTTTCCTTAACTCTAGGCCCTGAGTTCAATCTCCAAGAGCACAAAAAGAAAAGTTGAAATGTTCTCCCCCTGTCTCATAATCCAAGGAAACTGTCCAAAAGGTTTTGTTTTGTTTTCTACAGCAAGCCAGGATCTCTGGCCCTGAACTTTATATCTTACATCTACCAGCCAAGTGCTCAACCCTGGAACTATGCTCCCAGTCCTCAATTTTTGTTGTTCAATAAACAGAAATGGAAGAGAAAGAGAGAGAGAGGAATGACAGAAGGGAAAGGAAGGAAGGAAGGGAGAGAGAGAGAGAGAGAGAGAGAGAGAGAGAGAGAGAGAGAGAGAGAGAAGGAAAGACAGATCTAAACCGCAAATGAGAGACAGGAAAACTCCATTCTTAACAATGGAGGTAGCCTAGATAGCATCTCGGTGTGAATGAGGAGCTTGGGAGGAGGCTTTGGCTAACTCTCAGCTCTTACTTGGAAGACAACTCTGGATTTCTCCAGCAGGTAGGTTCTCATGTTGGCCCCTATGATCTGATTGCTCTTGTCGAAGCTGACTTCTGTGTACTTCCCAAACCGACTGCTGTTGTCATTGCGCGTGGTCTTAGCATTCCCCACAGCCTAGGAAACACAGGGCTTTCCTGAAATAACAAGCTTTGAAGACCTTTATGCCCAGGTGCCAGTGGCTCACACCTGTAATCCTAACTACTCAGGAGGCGAGCTGAGGATTGTGAGTCAAAGCCAGCTGGGGCAGAAAAGTCGGTGAGACTTTTCTCTCCAATTAACCACCAAAAAGCAAGATGTGAAGCTGTGGCTCAAGTGGTAGGTTGTGGGGCTCAGAGAGTGTGGGACTTAGCCTGCCTATCTAAGACTCTGCTCTCCATCCAGAACTCACCACCACCTCCAGCACACTGCCCTCTCCTTCTGCGGCCGTACCCACCTCGGTTATGGGATTGGATGCTAGGACCTTGTCCTCCACGTGAGCCTTGCTGCTTGATTTGCTGACGGTGGCAAAGTACCTCATGGCATAGCGGGCTGACACCGTCTTCCCTGCACCCGACTCTCCACTCACAATAATGGACTGGTTACGATGGTTTCTAAAGCAAAACAGGTAAGCAAACAGGCCGGGCTGGGCAAGAATAAGTTAATGAGACCAACTCCCCCATCTGAAAAGTAAATTCAAGTGTGGTGTTGCATGCTTATCTTTGCAGCTAATTAGGAGACAGAGGGAGAAGGACCAAGATCTGAGGCCCGCCTGGGGCAAAATGCACAAGACTCTATCCAGAAAAAAAAAAAAAGAACTAAATGGAAAAAGGCTTATATGGCATCATGCCTGTCCAGCAAGGCCCTGAGTTGAAAATGCAGACAAAAATAGAAGGGAAAACCAGATTCTCTAGTCTACAAAATTCAGTGACTTTCTGATCTCATCTTTTTTTTTTTTTTCTTCTTTAATGTGATCATGCAGAATGGACTCTCCTGTCGCCTGGCATGTTGAAGGTGCCCTAGACAAATCCCAGGCTCAATGACCCCCCAGGAGCTCTCAACATTGTAGTGATGAGCCAGCACTGGCTTGGTCCTGAAGAATAGGGTCTCACACTGGGGATGGGGGAGCTGATGTCACCGGATCTTTGATGACCTGGACAATGTCCAGCCTAGTCCATCTCTGCAGGAAAGAAGCACCATGTTCACGGCGCTGCACTGTCCTTAGGGTGACATTGTCCTGGCAGTTCCAGGTCCTGTGCCTCAGTTTCTCATCTATGAAGTAGAGGCAATGGTAGTAGCACAATGGGCCCAGAGGAGACCACTGACTGGGAAAGCTCTTTTGCAAAGTGCAAAAGGGATGAATAAAGTTAACATGGTGGATTTTGGGGCGGGGGGAGAATTAGTTTGCCATACTGGGGATTGAACTTGGGGTCTCCCCTTTGTCAGGTAAATGTTCACTCATATCCCCAGTCCTTTTGCCTTTAGTTTGTTTTGCAGATAGGGCCTCATCCAACTTGGATCCCCCTATTCTCTGCCTCACAAATAGCAGGGACTATAAGTATGAACCACTGTGCCTGGTCTTTCAGTTACTTTAAATGAGTCTAACTTAGATATATGCCTTTATTGGGGGAGGAGAGGGTCAAACTAATGCAAGGTGTTGGGAGGGCTGGAACAGAAGTCAGTCTAGCAGGACGCTACCTGGCCATCTGCTTGTAGGCCTCTTCTGCCACTGCGAATATGTGCGGATCCATATCGCCCATGTTCTGCCCGCTGTAGGCGTGGATGATGGCGTCTCCGTAGATGGGCAGCTGCTTGTAGGGGTTCATGGCCACCAAAATGATTCCTGCAGAAAGAGGGGAGAGCAGACACAAGATCCTTAACAGTCATACACTGCTGTGGCCAGCAGCTGTCCCCCCAAAAGTTCACACGCTACAGATTCAATGCCCAAGATCATATGTTAATGGCAATGGAGGTGGGGACTTGGTGAGGTCCTGGGGGTGAGGCCCGCTACAATGGCATTAGTGGCTTTGTGAGAAGAAAAGAGGTCTGAGCTACCGGCTCGCTCTGTGTCACCTGGTGTAGAAGGAAGCACTTGAGAGATGCCAGCATCAAGCTTTTGGACTTCCCAGACTCCGGATGGATAAGCCAAGAAAACTCGTAAGCTCAACAAACTACCCAGTCTCAGGTATTTCGTTACAGTAACAAAAATCAGAGCAAAATGCCCATTTCTCTCTAGATTCTTTGGAGGAAAAAAAAAAAAACCCTCCCAGCTCTCTCACTTACTAAACCTGCTTGACCTTAGTCAAGTTGCTTAGCTTTTTGTGTGTGTGTGTGCCAGTCTTGGGGCTTGAACTCAGGTTCTAGGTTATTGTCCCTGAGCTTCTTTTGCTCAATGCTAGTGCTCTAATACTTGAGCTACAGCTCCACTTCTGGCTTTTTTTTTTTTTTTTTT